CTGCAGACAGCTGGGGGAAATCATTGGTTTCTACCAATTCATACCAATTTTCAGTCTCTAAACTTAAGCGAGGACATTACAGGAGACAGAAGGGACCATTGTGCACTGCAACGCTTGGGAAGGCTGTGGTGTGGACTCTGTCTGTGCTTTCCACAGGGACCTTTCCCTGGGCACAGGAATGGCTGGAGCCAAACTCTTTTGTGGGGTTTCTCCAACTGTTGGTGTAGAGGATGGTGGCAGCAGCTTGTTGTTTCATGCAGGATCTCTCCCTGCTTTCACTGCGATGGGTCAATTGACTTGTTTAATGTTTTTGATGCCTGCTTTGAAGATGGCTTTCCTGCTTAAGAGAGCATCAAAATTAATTAGCACTTCTCTGGTTAATAACGAAATCAGCAATTCAAAAAATGTGATCTCTTGCTGTACACAGCCGTGTGTTTACATTGTTCTCATTGCTGGAAGATAAGAAGGAGGCCCAGATGGTGGTGACATTGGAAGTGGTTCCTTTCCTGTTATTTGGTGGTGCTACTTACACGAATAAGTACTTGGCTATTGAGAATGTATTATTTAAACACTAAGTTGACTTTTTCGGGAGGGCTGAGGGTTACGGTGTGTTATCGTTTTGTGGTCTAGATTTATTGTGTAGTGAATGCAATTCATGTGTGCTGCACTGGGCAAGGAATAAGAGCAAAATAAGTGGACTCATTTACAATGCTTCAGGCTTAGAAGGCTGACATTTAGTCAATCTTGGAGCCTCTTTCTCCAACCGATGACGAATGTTTCATCCATTTCTTGCCTCAGTTGGTATTTGGACACAAAAGGAATGTTTCAGGAGCTGTCTGCAGCGGTGCTGCAGTCTGCAATAGCACCAGGGAATGGCTTTGTTGTGTGTATGTCTGAAAAAGCCTGGTATGAGGTGGTGTTGCCTCTGATGTTCTCTCCAGGGTCAGGTGTTTGAAAAGGTGCAAACTGTCGAGCTGGCAGCTGCCCCGCAGCCCTCCTGAGCCGTTCCTCCTGTGGGTACCTGGCCTCGTTCCCCTCAGGGCACTCAGGCTGTTGGCAGCGTTGCTGCGCTCACCCGATGCAGCTGGAGGCTGATGTTGTGGCTGATGTGCGGTGCAGGAAGGTTTAAAACAACAGTACAGTCAGCATGGTTACCACGTGTGGAAGCGTGCTTGTTCTGCGTGTATCAGAAGAAGGCAGAGGTGTGGAGAGAGCAAATGTTGCCACTGCTGCCCACAGCTGCACTGATGGGACGCGCTCATAGGAGAGCCACAGCTCTGCCACAGCTTTGTGCCCCGACTGATGGCTGGTGACAGGGCTGCCAGCTTCGTGTCGGGCCGTGTCTGATGGCCCAGCACTGACAGCCTGGGCGGGAGATGTTCTTGTTTGCCTTCCTGACTCACAGCTCTGCTTTCCCACCTGGTGCTGTGGGCTCTGCTGCTCTGGGCTGGGATGGGGCGTGCAGTGGGACGGGTCCCCAGGGAATACGAATGTCAAACGCCATAAACTTCACCACACCCATCTTCACTAAAGTTTGAACCTTGAGCTGGGTTTGAAAGTCTCTGGTAAATGATTAACAAAGGAATGGACTTAGATAAACAGCGTGGTTTGTACAGGCCTGCTTACTGGAGCTGCATCTTCTTTAAGTCTTCTCATTTCCCTTCGTGTCTCCTCAGTGAGAAATTATAAACAAATATCTGTGCACATAAAACTTGTTTAGGTGTGAATAACTTCTGAAAGGTATGGGAGTGGGCCTCAGTCCCCTTTCTCAGCTAACACATTGCCTCCGAGAATAAAAGTAACTCGTTTATGAACTTGGAACCATTGCGTTTCAGAATGCTTTCCTCTCCCATTTGGACCTGTTTATGTTTTCTCCCATTTGGGTCAGTCATAGTTTGTTATGGTTTGGTTGAGTTCTGAAACACTGCAAATCACCAAAGGATAACAATAATGGTTATGTTATGGGGTGTGAATCCTCACTTCTTGAGGCACACAACCCCTTGGGAAGCAGTTTTGTTGTCTTTGTCTCTTTCTTCCTGTGACTTTGTGAGTAAAAGATTTGTATTGAACACCAGGCGAGGTTGCTGCGGTGCAGGGCTGTGCCTTGCATGAGCTGCTCACTTTGGCTGTGGATCAGATCTGTGAGGCTCCTGGCTGGGATCACCGTCAGGATTGCTGTGCTGCTGCACCTGGGGCAAGCAGGAGGCGAGGAGGGACTGTCAGCATTCGACACTTTCCTCCTTTATTAGTAAATACTGGCCTTATCTGATAGAGCCAAGCTGGAAAAGATATGCCAGGAGCCCAGATTAGATTGTTGGCAACTGCTTTATTAATTGATACCATCATTTGTTTTTAGTTCTGTTGTTCTATTTGATTCTATTTAGTATCTATCTGTTGTCTTTATCATGTAGCGATTTCTGTGATAGTAGTATAGAAGATGAGCCTAATTAAACATTAAAGGGGATTGAAAACTTTCAGTAGAATATGCTTGGCACTGCCACCATTTCAGTGACAGTTCATGGATGATTCCTTGAAAATGTTTTTGTCATAAATTCACAAGAGCTCAATTTTTTGGATCTATATTAGTTGTCTGCAAAACTATGCATAGAAAAAGACGCTTCTGTCTCTTCTCATTTCGGAATGTTGAATGATCTGCAGCTCTCAAGTGATGCATGCCTTACTTACATTCTAGGCTCTCCATTCACATTTCAGTGTTTAAACTGGGATTTGTAGCGTAAGAAAGGGTGCCACCGGACCTGAATCTTTAATAACATAGCCACAAATCGTTTTGTCCAGCAGCAATCTGCTTTATAGACTGTAAGGTGTGAATTGGACCCAACTAATACGGAGTGAGTATTGTGGCATTGATCACTGATAATTGTTTGCTGTGAGCCATGCAGCCCCGGGTCGGCTCCCATCACTGACCTGTGAAGGAGCAGCTGGGCTCCAGCTCTGCTTTATGACGGGGGACCGACCAGCAGCTGCTCGTGGCCAACTCTGGTTTGTCCTAATCGAACGTCATCGCATGCAGCTTAGTGATAAGAAGCAGAGATAGATTTGAGTCCTCGACTTCCTTACCTGTGAGGTTGGTTCCCTTGCAAAACTGCCACCACTCATGCAAACCACCTCCTGCAGGGCAGTGGGCCCTAGCAAGCAGCAGCCTCTGTTGTTATGTGACACATTCCTGGAGTGCTTCGGTGCTGAGGAGGGCAGGCAAGCTTCGTAGAAATGAGTGTGAGTGTGTAATTAAAGACGTGTGTTTGCAAGGACATCAGATGAGCATAACCGGGGTGAATTCCATTCTGCCATTGCTTGGGTGTTGTGCACTTCATTGTGCAACCTAAATATTTTATTATGTTTTTCTGCTCCTTGAGAGAAGACAAATTATTTAGAAAACATAGAAAGGCCATCCTGTGGGTCATAAACAGCGTTGTAATCTACTGATGAGTGCAGCTTTAGTTGAGGGATTAGCTAGTGATGGTGGTGATAGTTGTCGTCATCTTTGTAGAGTAATAGAATAGAGAAAGTGTTGCTGCATTTCAGGTATTTTCTGAGAGCAAAGGACGAATGTGATGGAGTTGAGTCCTTCTCCAAGTTCTGGGGAGGACTGGTGCTTCCTGGGTGGGCTTTCTTCTCTTTTTCCCCAAGCCTGTCTCATTCTGCCTCACTCCGGCTGCAGCCTTTCTTACTGAATCCTTCTCTCCACCCCTTGTTCCGTTCTTGTTCTTTCTGTTCAGATGAATTCCTGCTCGCCAGCCTTTGTACCAGGTTACTGCAGCAGGTCCCCATTGCTGCTGTCTGTCCTTCAGCTCTGCTGTGCCCCGTGCTCATGCAGCCCCCCCAGAACTCCTGGGCTGTTGTCTATTTCTCAATTCCTCCGTGGGGATGCAGTGTGAGGAGCTGACTTGTTCAAAATTCAAGCCCTCGGGGTGCTGAAGGGTTTTCAATTGCTCTGAAATTTAATTTTTTTCTGAATGTTTGAATGTTTGAATGTTTTCTACGCATATGACCAAATCTCGTCAGGTTTCCTTGAGGGGGGGAAAAGGAATATTCTGTTAAAAAGTCAGTCCATGTTCTGAAATTTGAAGTCCGCTTTGGGGAATGAGAGTTTTCTGGGATTTTTCTGAATAGAGGCACCAGGGTCTCAAAATCAGAGTCATTTTTCTGTCCTCATCTAAAAAATTGCTGGAGCCCTACTGCACCAAATTTTAGAATCGCTGGAAGCCAAGCATGCAGTAGAGAAATCTCATCTAAAAGATTAAAACTTTTGTGAAACTCAACTCAGCAAAACGTGCTGTGCAGGCTGTAAGGAGTTCAGGTGCTGGGCAGCCTGAAGCAGGCGAGGCACTGGGCTCTGTGCTGAATAATCGGCCCCTGAAGGTTGGCAGAGCTGCTGCTGGTTCAGCCCTTACGGGTAGGAGCAGCTCAGAGGTGGCTGTGACGGGCTGTGTGCTGTCCCAGCAACAGTTGTTGGTTTAAGAAGTAACCCTTTGTCAGTGGGCTGGGTGTTTGCACAGGAATACCACATCCTCAAATTAAGAAATGCTATTACTTTCCTGAAATGCTGGGGTGAGAGGATCTTTTATTACTATAAACATGTGACTTAATTTGCAGTTTCTTGCACAGAAGTGTCCTGATAGAAAACCCGATGCTGGCAGTGGAAGGCGAGGGCTTAATGCAGACTGTGGGGAACGCAGCCATAATGAAAGCAGTATGGAATGAGAGCGTGCTGTAGGAGTCGATTTTATAGACTAGGATCACTGCACAGGAAACTTGGCTTCAGAGATGGGTAAGGGAAGTGATCTTGACGCAGTCAAATAGGCAGCAAAGCAATCCGTACAGCTTTTCTTACGACTCACAGAGATCGCTGGTTAACTGTTTCTGGGTCTGGTGCACGGAGCTGTGAGGATAAAGGACAAGACAGCCCATTTCTCACCATCGTATTATGTTTGCCAAAAGGCCACAGATCTTAATTCATATTTTCATGCCTTTTTTCCCAGCCCTGGACTGAGATCAGATGTAAGCTCTTCTCCATCCACAACCTCAGCGACTACGGGACCACCTCCCAAGCTCTGCCTCGTGTGCTCTGACGAGGCCTCTGGGTGTCATTATGGTGTTCTTACTTGTGGCAGCTGCAAAGTGTTCTTCAAAAGAGCTGTGGAAGGTAAGTCTTGTTTTAAACAACACATTCATCAAGACTGTAAGGTCCAATTCCATATGTGACCGGCCAGATCCAGGCCGTTCTCTCCTGCTGGAGCCCATTATTGCTCGAATCCTCCTGGGGAACCAGCCCTGCTATCGCTGTTCCTTTCGTAGTAAAAATAACATTGATAATGGTGTGATTTTCTGTAGCATGGATTCTCTTTACGTTTATAAAACGCTCCCATTCACTCTGGATAAAAAGGTGCGTTGTTATCTTTGCTTTTTGTTTCCTTCATTTTCTTTCAGTGTGGTTTTTGTTTATTTCTCCTGATTATATACAGACGTGTCTGCATGCATTGAATTCGCAGTCTGTGGTTCTAAGTTTCTTACTCATTGATCTGTGCATGATGATGTGTGTGAAATTGGGTAGCGCTTCTGCAAGGTTGGGAGAGTTTCACAGTGCTTCCTGTCAGCAGTGTTGGTTACGTTACACGTGTGTAACATGTATGGTGTATGCAGGGTAATTTACAGGGATGTGTGGGTCGGGGTCGTTGGGATGTCTCTGTAAGCACAGGAAGGACACGGCGGTGATGGAGCATGGAATGGGAGTCCAGGGCGGTGCAGCGGAGCGGCTGCTCTGTGCTGAGTGCCCAACTGCTCACTGCAATATCAGCATCAGAGACAGAAGGAGCACAGAGCGCATCGCTGTGCGCTGAAAGGGCAGCAGTGGTTCCTGCACCGCCGTTACACAATACAGGAAATCCCTCACGCGGGGCTTCCCGTCCCGTGCCTGTTTCGGGCAGTCCTTACTGGGTGTGATGAAGTGAGTCACGCTGTCATGTTTTGCTAACGTTTTTGCAAGCTGGATTTCACTTGAGAAGGGGGAAGGCTGTGTCACAAAGATGCATCGGCATTCTGTCCTTAGAAGAAGGACTGGCCCTGTGCTCCCAACTCACCCAAAGCAATAGAAAATGTAATGACGCAATGGGAGACGGCGTGGAAGCGCAGAGCCTCTCTCAGAGGATCCGAGGATGTTTGCAGGCTGTGCTGCTGCCCTTTGTGGGGAAGGATGTCGTGTCCGTGGCACGCTGAAGCTGCTTCTGAAGTACCATGAGAACCAGCTCCAGTACAGAGCGCCGGGCTGTCCTTGGCTCTCGGCTTGTCCTGTCTGAGATGTGCTCCTGTCTGCAGCCAGGCTCCTGGCTGGGATGAATAATCATCTGTAGCTTGGAGTGAAAGAAGGGCACTGGATATCCCCCAGAAGCAGCTCTATGTGGCAGCTGAGTGTGTCACAGCGACAGTTCTGCCTGTTCCACAGCCTTAACCAGGGAAGGAAGCATTGATACATGAAGAAATCGGTCCGGTGACTGCTGTGATTGGTGATGTGACTTTGCACATCTTGTACCAACTGTGTTGGAGTTAAATGTGTAAAGCAGGGTTGGAGCTGTAAAACTGCAACACACTCCTAAAGGTTTACCTGCACTTTCATTCTCTTATTGTTCCACAGATTGTCCCAATCATCATCCTTAAGATTCGATACTATGGATGTTTTCAGGAGCTCTTAAAGGATCTGTGAGTTTTAATATTACCTTAAGGAACAAAAAACTTGGTTTTAGCTCTTACGGGAATTTTTCTGTTCAGGAATATATGTAGAAAGAATTTATTTCTGCACAATTGCTTTCATTAATATCTGCCAAGCATCTGTTAGTGTACAGATCCAGCAAACTGCATTTGTCACCGAGCTGTAAGCCTGGAAACACTCCTTCTGCACCTTTGTCTGCACTCATATACACTGCGATGGAAATGATTACAGAAACTGAAAGTTTCAGTGTCCAGGTGAATATGAGGTGTATCTCGTTCAGCAAACTGTAGAACTAGAGGAAAAGAGGGAGGATGAAGGTGGGTCAGCTGTTCTGTATTTATAGCCATTCTCACACAAACAAAGATCCTTTCTTCAGGAATCCAGGATAGCAAAAGCTGTCTTGTTCTAGTTCTTATTTTCACAGTGCCTCGGAGCCCTTATGGTTGTTTCTGCAGGCCCAGCCCTACACCTCCCTCCTGTTTCCACCTCTCCTGCCAGCCCACATCTTCTTCCCTCCTCCCACCCCCGCTTTCATCTTGCTTCAGATTCTCACACCTCCCTTCTGTGTTAAATCCCTTCCAACACCCCTGCCTCCTGCAGTGCTCCAGATTGTGCTTGTTCTCCAGCCCTTTCCACTCCCAATCTGTTCCAAAGAATCCTTCATTCCTCTGATCATCACAACCCATCAGAGCCCAGGGGCATGCTTGTGCCCAGGTGGTGCGGTGCGGAGCAGCAGTGTTGTCTGGATGCTCTACAAAATGCCAACATCTGCAGTAAATTCTCTTGGAAGCATCTCAGTTTGCTCGCTACCAGATTTCACCAGTGTGTTCTTTAAGTGTCTTCATTTTTTTAAGCAGCAAAGGTAACTGAAATGTCTCCGTTTGGCTGGCGTGTCTGCAGGGCAGCGCTCTGACTGTGGGAAGCAAGAGGTGGAAAGATCTCATTTTTCACCAAATGCTAATGTGACAGAAGAGCTTTACTATACTGTTATCCAGGGAAATAATGTGATTTCCATATGAAAATCAGTATAAAAAGAAAGACAATAATGGCTAAGCAGTAGATACAAGAAATCCAAATAGTACATGGAGATGGAATCCAGAAGTTTGACGAAGGCCACAGGATGGACTCTGCATACCTGAAATTTTCACAGTTGATTTCAAACTAATTCCTTAATCACGTCTGTTTCTATAAGAAGACTCCTAGACTCCATTGTTAGTAACTGAATATTTGGAAGATACTTTTGTTCCTCTTGCTGTTATCCATCGGGACACTGACATGCAGTGTAGGAGCCTGGGCTGCAGCTTTGTTCCACCACCACTTCTGTTTCTTGTTCCCTGTCTGGGAGAAGGACATACCTCTTAGCAGTGCCTTTTTCTAAAGGAACCTGTCGTTATACAATTGTTCATATAACTCAAATCATTAGGAACAGATGTCGTTCTTGATATCGTTCTCCACTGTTTCCCTTCTGTTAACAGCAAAGCAATGTGCTCATTTTAATAGGTGTCCTTCAGGTCACCACATTCCTGGGGCCAAATTTTTGGTGTGAATCTGAGGGGCCGTAGAGATGTCAGAGTGCTTGGTTGTCTGCTTCTGAATGGAACCGGGGCTTCTCAGCTTCTAGAGCGGTGGCAGCTATTTCTATATGTCAGGAGAGATGTTGAAATGTATACTTTCCAAATGTGTTTGTGAATGTTATTTATATCTCATGTGAAATCATTCAGGGGAATTGTAAACATGCCATGGAGGCTTAGAGCTTTCTCCTAGCTTGGAGAAATGTAAGAGAAAAGGAGTTGTAAAAATAGAACTTGCCCAACCTTACCAAACAGAAAACAGGATTTCTCCTAAGCGTGTTGGCATCGGTGTCTGAATGGCAGAAGAGCGCTGGATTTGTATTTGCTGGGAATCATCTGGGTGCTGATTTTGTTTTGCAATAAAAGGAGTGCGGCGGTAGGGACGTCCCGCAGTCCCTTCGTGCTGCAGAGACAGAATGACTTCATCTGGTTGCAAGGTTGGTGGTGACTCTGTGTGTTTCTGTGAATGCAGGGCAGCACAACTATCTCTGCGCTGGAAGGAACGACTGCATTATTGACAAAATCCGGCGGAAGAACTGCCCGGCGTGCCGCTATCGGAAATGCCTCCAGGCGGGCATGAACCTCGAAGGTAATCCTCAGCGTCCCGTCCCGCTTTTATTTCTCATCTGGTGCAGGTCCCAAAGCTGAAGCAGCAGCACTTCAGCGTGGTAGAAGTGCTGCGTTCTGTGGTGCGTAGCAGCGTTTTCATGAAAGTGAGATTTTCAGTGCTAAAATTTCTCCCGTGCTTTCCTGTCCCCACTCAGTTGCTTTATCTCCCTGTTATGCACAGCAGAAGTGAGTCATGCATGTGAAACGGGGTTATTTTTTCTTCCTGTCAGCACATAGATCTTGTTGCTTTTTCGGTGAATCTGAGACAGCAGAACTCCAGCAGAGGTCTTGTAGGGAAGTGCCGTGCCTGCCTATTCTTACTTGGGAAAGTGACTTGATGCTGAAAACCACAAATGGGAGGGAATGCCCGGGCGTGTAGCTAAAATTGGAGTGGGCCTTGCATATTCAAGCTGAAGAAAAGGCAATTACTTTTATTCATGCTGCGGGTTCTTGTTCTTAAATGTCTGATAGAGTCTCTCTAGAAAAGATAATGTACTAAAGAAACAGAAATGTGTTGGTGCGTGTTTGTTCTGTGCTCAGTGGTGGATGGCTGATGAGAAACTGGAGACCGCATGAGCTAGAGATTTAGCAACGGCCCTAAAAAGGCATAAAACTTTTTTACTGCTTCCTCTTCGATATTTCCCCTTGAGCCGTAGAGATAAATGCAGTATTTACAAGCATAGTTATTGTGGTGATAACTTGCATCATCAAAGTTGACAGATAAAGTAAAAATGTCAAAAATGTATATCAATATGAACATTTTCTTCATTTCAGTGAAAATATCCTTCAGTAAAATGTAAGTGGTGGATTGTGTTAGAGGTGGGGCCCTCGTTAGCACGTCCTTTCCTGCTGTTCTTCTGCCCCTCTCCACCATGAACACCCTGTGTTCCTGCCATGCTGGTGGCTGCTGCCCATCCTTCTGAGCAAAAGGAGAGGACCCAGCAGGCAGAAATGCTTTCCCCCACGCCACACTTGCACATAAATTCCATCCTCAGGAGGGGACTCTGTGGTTTGTCTGCGTATCAGTGGGGTCTGTATGCAGGAGGAGCGTGCATGTAGCCTGACAGCCACAGTCTGCAGGCTGTCGGTGGTGTCTGTGCAGGGCATGCAGCTGTGTGCAGGGCAGCAGAGCACTCAATGGGCTCCCAGCAGTGTCGGAGCTATGAGGCTGGGTGGCCGACTGGGAAGGCTGGGAGCCAGCAAAGTCATGGCACAGCCAAAGGGAGGTTTCCTTCCCTGAGGTTTGGCACAAAGACTGCTGGAGAGGAGCGAATTTCTGCAAGATGGTATTGTTACATAGGTTGGGAAGGCAAAAAGGAAAAAAAAAGAGAGAAAATTGCTTTCATGGCTGAGGGAAGAGAGGCCTGGAAACTGAGCAAAGCTGAAATTGTTAGATCCCAAGGTAGTGTGAGAAGGAGAAAGAGAAAGCTCTGTGAAAACAGCGGGTTATCAGGTGGGTCTGAATGGATGGTGAATTGCTGGTACAAAAGAAACAGTAGAAGTCTGGAGCACAGTATGAAGTGCATGACAGTGCGGAGGCAAGATGGTTTCTTGTACACCAAAGCCCTGCTGCTGAATCATTCTCTCGCTTGCCTTATCAGTCATACATTTGACACTTCTTAGCTCCCTTTTCTGGACTGTTTTTGTGCTACGTGATTTTTTTTTGAGCTGGGGGCATTGGGAAAATGCGCAGCTGTCAAACTTCAGGCACCAGAAACTGTAGAAATTATTCTACAGAATAATGTAATTCTTTCTTACAGGCTTTATTTCATTGAATTCTCGTTTCCTTCTGTCACTAATTGACCCTAGCCATTGCTTGGCACCCTTTTTCTTTCTGATGCATTTGAAGAAACGATTTGTCATTAGGTTTTGTGCCCGTAATAAGTCATCACAAAACCTTTTTTGGCTTTTCATACTGCATTTTATAGTTAAACTCTGGGCAACTTACGTTATTTTCTGTTGTCTTCATTTTGAAACCATTTCAAGTTTTTTGTAGGATCTCTTCTTATTTCTCATAATATTAATTGCCCTGTTCTGCAAGTGCAGTGGATGTTGCCTTTCTAGATCCTCTAGAAGTGAGGTGTGCAGCCTCTCCCGCTTATGATGGTGTTTCATCTTCTGTGCAGCAGTGAGAGCATTCTGTGTATTGCTGTGAGATGGCGTTTCCACGAAGGTCTCGATCCTCACATTCTCTTTACCACTGAACTTTTGCTTCCAGAGCTTTTCTTCCGTTCTGGCTGGGTTTGTGCCTGTGTGCTCCTCCTCAGCATTTGTTAAGGGGCTGTTGAGCTGCTGTGGGGTTTGGCACGTGGCAGTCTGGCCAGCCGGCATCACACAGCTCGGCTGCACATGCCCTCCGTGGCAGAGCCCTCCTTCTGCCCGCAGCGCTGTGTGGTTGCTGTGTTACCCTGCCCTGGTGCAGGGGTCCCTCCATGAGATGGGGTCGTCCCCGTCATGCAGCTGGGACCTTGCAGTTGTGTCCAGCTGTCCCAGAGGAGAGGCCCTTCTGTGAGGTGGGACGGACCTCATTCATGGCCTCTGTAGCATCCCACGACAATCCCCATCTTTTCAGCTGCGTTGGGACTTTCAACCCAGCTGTGGGCAGCTTGGGAATCCTTTAATGCCGGGCTGCTGGACTGCAGTGTCCACAGTGGGCACTGCTGGTGGGCAGCACAGAGCCGGCACAGCCACACCGCCCTGCACTGCAGCTGCTCTGTTCTCTTTCAGCAGAGCTTTTTGGATGCTGGGGCTTATTTCTGTGCCAGCTTTATCTGTAGGGTTTATCTTTTGCATTTTGCCTTAAGGAGCTGGTTTTTAATTTGTGGTGTTTTTGTATTTGAAAGTGTAAACCTTCCTTTTTTGTGAGTTACAACAATATATCTACGTCAGGTTTAGTAGTGCAGCTTAATAAAATTCTTGCACAATACTTTATCTTATCAGATATTTCTTTGATTGCAATTTTACCAGACTTTCTGGTCTGTAAGTGTTCCGCCCTAGGTGTCTGCATTCACCTGTAGGCATGTGCATGTAAATTTACGTTCATTTAAAAAAGCAGTTCATTTGCTTTTGAGAACAAGGATGATGGCAAGTGTGTGTGTATGTGTAATGCATAAAAGTAATGATAATAGCAACAGAGAGAAGCCCTTTGCTCCAAAGAGCTCGTTATTGCTGTTCTGCCACGGAAGTCTCAGCAGATGTGGACAGTATTTAAGCTTTTGTGAAAGTTCAATTTATGCGAAGTCCACAGGGAATTTCTTATCCTTACAGGGATTCTGAAGACTTTCTCACAGCCAGTGGAAGAAGTGGGGCTGGGAAGGGGACATTGCATTCTGTTAAGCTACAGTCAGTGGACTTCAGGCCAGTAGAGACACTGACTGGATCAGCAGAAACTTAACAAACATGAAAGCACTTTATGCAGTGTTTTTCTGTGCTATTGGCTTATCTCTGAAGTTGCAGAAGAAAAATCCATCAAATAATTGATAGAAGGGGAAAGAATTAGGTTTCATTCTGGTCTCAGCCAAATGGTGCATTGAGTTCAGCCTCCAGGAGAGGCCAGACAGGAGATCCCTTTATTGACAACTGTTGCTTCAGCTTCTAGTTTATGGTTAACATCTCTGTGTGATGTTTTATTTATTTGGCTTATGAACGCAATGGTTTAATTATACAGCAGTGATTTACATGCAAAGAAGCTGGCAAGAGAAAAATCTCCTCCTGCCCAGCGTTTCAAAAAATGTTTTCCCTGTCTCGAGAGACCGAGTCACTTCTAACCCATGAAGTATATTTCTTTCCTTCCCTCCGTGTGGCTTCTGTACTTAATATACGGAGGAAACGACGGCATGCCCACTCCTGCAAGTCTTTTCCAAACAGGTGCTGTTCTGTCACATGGAGCCGTACTGCTCTATGTGCGTAAAGGTTGGGGCCAGGCCTTGTCTGTGTCCTCCTTGCAGACATTATAGAGAATTTGGGGACATAGACATTAATGTGCCTTCGATAACAATGTGAAATAAACAGGTTTTCACAGGAAGTTTGGTAAGTATTGAAGTGGAATTATTTGCAGCTTATGAAAAAGAAAAGTCCTTGAGAAGTTTCAATTGTCTGATCTACAAATGAAGGAAGAAGAAAGCAGCATTCCCTGTGCTGTGGATGTAACGGCACGTGGTCACTTCCCGCCACCTAACAGCAGTTATTCAATCTTTCCTAGCCCGCAAGACGAAGAAGAAGATAAAAGGCATCCAGCAGGCCACTGCCACGGGCACCAGGGATGCCGCCGAAGCTGCTGGAAATAAGAGCGTGGTTCCCGCGTCGCTGCCGCAGCTCACACCCACCCTGGTGTCGCTGCTGGAGGTGATCGAGCCCGAGGTGCTGTACTCCGGCTACGACAGCACGCTGCCCGACTCCAGCTGGCGCATCCTGTCAACCCTCAACATGCTGGGAGGACGGCAAGTGGTAGCTGCAGTCAAGTGGGCGAAGGCAATACCAGGTGTGTGTTGCTTACAGAGCGCAGTCGGGGGGGGCTTGAACGTCTGTCTTCACGTGTGATGTTCTACAGAGCCCTCAGAGAGAAGGACTGGCTGTACTTGAGCTACACCAGAGCTCGGGCTTTTGCAGTGGAGCCTTCCCTTTTATAGGCTGGTGCTGTGGTGCTGGCTTATCTGGGTCTGCATTCAGGTGGTTCTGTTCTCTGACCTGTCACCATGTCTGTAGTTTCTTGTTGACTGGGAATAGGCCTTTGAGCATTCCAGTTCCGGACAGGAACTCAAGATGTTCATTTTCTCTCAAGCCTTGTGGCTTTGTGATTACATGGGGAATTTGGAAATGTTCTTGCTGTTTGGCTCCTGCCTGAGAACACTTAGCAGTTGCCTTACAGAAGACAAATGCAAAATCACATCCGTGGCCATAACGTGTAGCATCCCATGGTGTCTCTGGGAAGGGCCTGGGGCTACAGGAGGGCTGAAGATCATTTTCTGTCTGACAGAACAAAGACAGATGTTTTTCTCCCCTTCTCTTCTAGTCTCTGCCATTACCTGCTTCCAAAACCAAACTGGCAACAGGACTTCCACAGTGTTTTGCATCACTGTGGGACAGCCTGCAGGCTGCTGGCATTCTGAAATAAAACTGACACCACTGGGTTCTGTGTTTGCAGTCTCCTCTGGACGGTTCCCCTAAAGAGATGAATCCTTCAGGTTATCACATGTCCTCTGTGAACATGGCGAGCTTCTGCCTAATAATTTTATTAATAGGGGCTATTATTATTATCCTATTTTTACACTTGTTTAAAATTACCAAGACGGTTCTTTGTGGGCATATTTAATTTGTATGTACTTCTGCTAAGTGTCCCCCAGCCCACAGCCTGGCAGTGCAGAATCCTTGAGCTGAGGTTGTCAAGGCAGCCTTTTCCTGAGGAGTTTTTGAGCAAAACTTTTGAGATTTGACCCAGTAAGTTAGAAATAAGCTTGAAATAATTTGCTTCTGTTTTAGCAGCAGTGAATAGTGGTTAACAGTGGTCACTGCAGTCTCCAAAGCCAGAAGCCTGCTTTGAAGCTGTTCAGACCTACCGAGTTTTGCTATTTAATAATCTACTGACTGCTATCCATTTAAACGTCTTCAGGAAGCAGTGCTGTAATGAGCTCTTTAGATGCCAAATGCCTAATGAAATTAAATAAAATCAACTTGAATTCAGACTTTAATAATGATTCATGGTGACACAATGTTTTCTTGTTAGATGTAGGCATGATCCGCTGGAAACTAGCATTGCAAATGAAAAGCTGCCTGCATCTTAAGCCTGTTTAAGGGACCAATTTTCAGATTTTACACATTTCCTCATTATCTTAATTGGCTCTATTCATTCTCCTTATTCTTACAAGATTAACTGCCATCGTTAACTGTTTATAATGCGGTGCATATTTTGTAAGTTCTGTGTACAATTCTCGAATAAGAACAAAATTTGAAGTTAGATCATTTATCATCTTGTGGACTGCCTGCAAACATTAGGAAAAACACTGTTAATTACAGAAGGTTGCCAGATGAATGGTAGTGAATATTAGATATTTTTGTCTTGTGATCTGTCTTTGACTGATTGCCTTCTCCACGTAATCACACACACATATTCTGATGTATTTTTTTTAAGTATGACCTTCTGCTTCCTGTATTACCCATCAGAGTGGATCCATCTGGCACTGTCATGGAATTACGGAGCCACCAAGGTTGGAAATGACCTCCGAGGTCACCCAGTCCAACCATCCACCAAACTTTTCCCACTGAATTCCCTCCCTCGGTACAACATCTGAACCTTTCTTGTGCACCTGCAGGGAAATCTCCATCCAGAAAGCAGCTCGCAGCAGTTGCAGAAGGCCAGCACTGTTGGTGGCTGTGCATTCCTGTAGGTGGGGTGCTGAGAGCTTTGTACGTGTAGATGTCAGTGTCATCTATTGGATGAGGTTGAAGCGTTACTTTCTGTTAGCCCTGTGGCCCGTGTCTCCCCATCACTTTCTGCCAGGCCCTGGCCTGTTTCTCCACGTCAGGGCAGTCACCCCACGCCGTGCTGAGCGCTCTGCTCGGACCTCTCCTGGTTCAGCTCAGTTCTCCTGCCCAGTAGCTGTAATCTGAGTGCTACGGTTGATTTTTGCATGTGCAAATATTTGAACGTAACCTTGGTAGTTGGAAAATGGTGTTTGCACCCTTTTAAAGTACTTCTATTTCCAACAAGACTTTCACATATAAAAAAAAAAAAAAAACCTTCATTTTTGTTCTGTATTTTTTTTCTGCTACCAAGAATGCAGTCTGAAATACAGGAATGCTTGACTGAGTTAACTAGCAGCAAGCAATCTTGTTGTTGCAGGTACTGCTATTGCATTTACAGAAATCATTACGAAATTCACTTTAAAAAGCAGTAACCTGCATTGGTGGTACAGAGGTTGTACTGATGGGAAGCACAATCTGTTTCAGAGTTCTTTGTGTTCTGGGTTTGTTTTTGAGGTTTCTTTTGCTACCAGTGCAGCCACACCTCACTGCTTTTATTTTTGTGTCGTTAAGGTTTCAGAAACTTACACCTGGATGACCAAATGACCCTTCTGCAGTACTCCTGGATGTTCCTAATGGCTTTTGCTTTAGGATGGAGATCATACAAACAATCAAATGGAAATCTCCTTTGCTTTGCACCAGATCTGATTATTAACGAGTAAGTAAGACTGCATCCTTGTCCAGTTTTACGGGGGGGATGCAGACTGCTGCAGCCCATCCATTCTGCACGGGAGAGGCGAGTAGCTGGGCAGCAAAGGTGCAAGGATCCCAGGTCCCTTTGTTGTTTGCAGCATTGTTTTCCTTCCAGCAGATCGCTTAGTTTTCACCCAGCTTTACTGAAAGAGAAATGTTGTCAGTACTGAGTGCATTTCCATGAAGTTTTGTGGGAGGTTCTCATACGAAATGTCCCCTGCTGCCACCTTTCCTGCTCCATTCATTGCAGTCATTCATCTCACCAGAGCCGAAGAAGCTGAAGTTAGAAGTAATTGTGGGATGGAGGGAGAAGCGTAGCAAACTGCACAGCGTGCTGTGTGAGGTGTATAAGAGTAATCTTATCTGTTTAACTCATTCTTGGTCAGTTAAATGTTTATATCTGAGCACGGGTAAAATCTGGCTTAAAAGGTTGCAAATGGAAAAACTTACATGTTGTATCTTTGTAGTTGTTGAACTTTGTTACCAATTTTCAAGAGAAAAATGAATTTACTTCAGTATCTGGGCTTCTTTCTTGTCCTGAGCATCATCTTCCTTGTGTTTTTCAAAGTGGTGCTGTGTGGTCACCTGTCCTGTGGAGGACTGAAGGAGGGAACTCTGATAGAGAAGGAGATGGGCGGTGAGCTTGGCTCGAGCTGTGGGGGTCAGAAGTGGCTGCTGCAGATGTGAGCACAGGGCAGTACTTGCCAGGTGCTGCTTTGCCGGTGCAGCTGCAGGTCGGTCCTGCTGTGCCTCTCAGGCTGGGGAGCCCAGGCTGCCTGTCAGCTCTCCTGCTGGGATGCAATGTGCTGCTGGCCGTGCTCGGCTTCCTTGCTGTGCTGCTCTTCTTGGAGGCTGCTCAGCGATTGACCTGTGTTGCAGGGTTAGCAGAGCTCCGGAGCACCGCCGCCGCCTCCTGCAGGGTGGTGATGCTAGCAGTGCTGCTGTGTGCTGAGATGTGTTGTCTGTGCTTTGAATGAGTTGCTGAAAATATGTTGTGGGTGTCAATGTTGGAGGTTGCTGGCCAGAGCCATGCGAGATGTGGCTCGGCCACCTGCGGGTTCCAATCAGCAGGATGTGATTGCTGCGGGTTTGCCATTCTTTTCCTTCATCAATTGCAACAGTCCATGCAGGACTGTGCAGGGCCGTCCACAGAGCCTATCCAGCACTGGAATTGCACTGACAAGGGTCTGAAAAGCAACGTGAGTGACGAGTTCTGATCCGTGTCCTGGTTCCCCTCTGCAGGCAGTGCTGCCCCTTGAGCACATTTTGAGATAGTGTTCAATATTTTTGTTCCTATTGCACTTCAGTTCCTGTTCTCCCCAGTCTGTTCTCTGCTTAGAAACCAGTGCTGGTTACATTTCCTATGGGACTGGCCATTTGCATTTCATAATACTTCTTTTGTTTCCATTTATTTGTCTGAATATTCTTCCTTGTAAATATATATCAAGGCCTTCATAAGCTTTAATAATTTCTTCATAGTAATTATTTCTTTTTTTTTTTTTTTTGGGGGGGGGAGCAGGAGAAAGGTGGGATCAGATGTATGCCCCGTCTGTGTACTTCTGATTAAATTGTTAGAATATGTCCGTGAAATAAAGAAGTTTCCCCATGGTGGAGTTAATTGAAGTAACTGACGTCACTAACAAACGTGACAGCATCTCAACTGCTACATTCAGATATCTCCTGCAGTTCTATCAATGGGTCAAAACCTCAGAGCTTGGCAGTGAAGCATGTGCCTGTACTCTAAAAAAGCAAGGGTAATCCTCCTCTACTCAGTATTAATTCTCCAAAGTATTCTGGTTAGCAGTTCCGGTATGTGGACTGTTCATTAAGATGACATTTGTTTTCAATAACATTTGTTGACTAAGAGAACTGCAGTTCCTTCTGACTCCTCCTCTGGTGTGATTCAGGTTCTCTATAAAACTCTGGTCGTAACTTTTTATGTACTATTCAGCAATAAAACACAGCCACCTTTGAGTTAGCTCTGGCAGCTCCTGAATGGTGCATGAAGATGGTGTGAGCTGCCAGACGTGTGCAGAGCACAGTGCTATGGGCCGTGCAAGGGGGGTGCTGCAGTGGTGGGGAGGGCAGCGGAGATGTCGTGAGCATCAAGAGGATGGCACACAGACCAGGTCTGCTCGTGCTCTGCTTGATACTGGATTCTACAGATAGCGTTGTGGCACATGACATTCCCAGAAAGGCACTCTGGAGTTCATTTGGTGATTTTCCTGAGATGCGCTGCTTTGTATTTTTCCTCCAGCTGCTCCTTTGCTGCTCCCCAACCTCAGGGTCTGAATTAAGATAGCATTTATTATGTTACAGTGATTTATCGTATATTTAGCCTGCTTCCTGTGTTATGTACATGTACAGCATACATATATGTAAAAAGTTTTTCTACAGGTTGTAGAAAAGCTTGGCAGCTCGATGCTTAGGCTTTAGACCATCGCCTGGTTGTTGGAGAGATGTGAGTGCTGCTGGTTCCATGGTACTGTGTGACCACAGCGCAGTTCTGACTGCCCTCAGTCTGCTCACAGCCTCTGTTTGTGTCACAGTGCTCATGGAGTTACAGGGAGGGATGCTCAGTTGTGCTCACTGCATGCACAGATGGCTTTCGATTGCGACCTGGCTTTAGAATGAAGGTTTTGAAAGTTGAGTCTTAGGATTCGGGCTGTGTTTGCATGCACAACATCCTAGCTTTTGCTGTTCTTAGGTTTGAGCTCGTCTCCTTTGTCTGTACAGAGCTGACTACCACAGCTCTGCACTGGTGCTGCTGGGACAGAAAGCAAGGAACTGCTAATTACAGTTTTACAAGCAGTGTTTTATCAGTGCTCTTATTCCCAGAATTTTTTTGGACATTCTTTTGTAACCAATTCTGTGCAATCCGTATTGTCTGATTTTCGGAAGGCAGCTTTTTGTTTACTGGTTCTATGGACTTGGCAGAGCCGAATGACTCAGCGGTGCTTTTATCGACACGTGTGTGTGTGTGTGTGTACATTAAGTGCAACTTGCACGGGCTGCCATTTGTGCTACTTTTGAGCCTGATGCCCAGCTTGCACTCTGCTTTCTGTTTACCAAAGCAAAAGAAGATTAGATGTTACAGAACAGAGATGTGTTTTGAATCAGGCTAGAGACACAGTCACTAACGCAGAATCGCTTCAGAGATGATAAACTGCCATTAGTCAGCTGCTTAAATCTCAGCTTCTGTGAAGGCCAGGAGTTGCACAAACGTTGCACTGTTGCACTGTGTGGCCCATTGCACTCTGCCTGGCCAGCTGCCTGCTCTGCTCCCATCAGCTCTTCCTGGGCTCGGGGTACCAGCAGCACTCAGACCTTCCTTTCCCCTGGCTGCCCAGGTCCCCACTGGGGCTTTGCTTGAAGGCCCACAGTCGGTCGGGTTCTGCTCCTCCTCCCTTGCTGGCAGCTGAGCTGGTTGCATTCCCGCAGGGCGGTGAGGGGCAGAGCTGGGCCCTCTTCCCAGCCCTCCTCCCCACCGCCCCCAGCAGAGCGCAGCTCTCTGTTGGCTCAGCTCTGAGCAGAGGGGCCGTGCTGCACTTTCAGTTTTTGGGGACCGCCATTGCCACAGCTTTGGTAGTAACAAAAATCTGCATGGAGATAGAATGGATTCCCAGACTCAGGGTGATGACTGCATCTACAGCAGATGGGAACAAATGACAGGCCGACCCATTTCATAACATTTCTTTTAACCTTCTGCCCAGAAACGGTCATACTTCTACACGAGGAAAACTGCTGAGCCCTGTTGTGGAATGTGTTTGAATTACCCAATTGCAATGCTGTTCGATGCCCTTTGACACAACCCAGAGGGCTCAGCAGAAGTTCTTCCAAGCAGTCGGACGGCGCACGCCGGCAGCCCCCCTGTCAGGTGCTCTGAGCAGCTGCCTGCAGCGCAGCGCCCTGCGCGGACCCAGAGCGTGCGAGGTGAGCGCATGGCTTCAGCTGCCAGCACGGCGCCACTGCTGGGTGCAGGGCTGTGCAGCTCCAGGAGCCCCGGCTGCCTGGTGCTGCAGCGAGCAGCCCTGCCATGCCTCAGAAGGAACGGGTCGTGTTTGCATTTGGAAAAGGTGGTGTTTCTGCACTTGTGCCTTACGTGGTTTTTAGCAGATCTAAATAGCTTGTATTTCTTGCTCTTATTCTTAGGATTTTCTCTTACTCTTAGGATTTTGCACCTCAAGGAAGGTGCGTGTGCTTTGTGTTGGCCAAGGGTTTCATATGCTGCTTCCCAGCAGCGCAGTTACGTTTCTGTTGCAGGCATTGGCTCTTGGAGGGCAGAAAAAGGAGAACTGAAAGATGCTAGCAGCTCCAGAGGAAATGGAGCCATTTCATAACCAAATCCTCCTCTTATACTGGGATTCAATTTCGTTTCTTTGTTGAGATTCTAATATTGAATAGAAAATGTTTTGGAAGAGGTAACGCTGTGTTTCAATGTTATTCTCCTGATGCTGCAGTTTGGGGCCTCTGCTTCCATGTGGTGACTGAGGCACTCACCCTAAGGGAGTTCCCTGGAGAAAACTGAAGGCTCTTTTGCTGTGAGCCAAGTGCTGACATCTGCCACTGCCACCCCACTGGTCCTGAGGGAAGGATGGAGAAACTTAGATTTGGAACTTGAAGACGCCATTTAACTAATTGTTGTCTTTACTTCTCAGGCAGAGAATGAATCTACCCTGTATGTATGAACAATGCAAACATATGCTGATGGTTGCCCGCGAGCTGTCACGGCTTCAAGTCTCATATGAAGAGTATCTCTGCATGAAAACATTGCTTCTCCTCTCTACAAGTAGGTGAACATTTAAACACCTGTGTGAGCAATGCGAGCTTACCTTGTCAGTGCCATGAAGTGTGTGCAGCGTGGCACGGTGTGAGGTGTCTGATCACAAATAGCTCTCGCAGTGCTCAGTTTGCTGCCTGACCACAGGGGGTTACTGAGAAGTTCTGCTCAGCAGGTATGGGATGTTTGTGCCATGGCAGTGCAGACTGCATGCAGACCTTTGCAGCTCCAGCAGAGCCCTAAGCCACAGACTGGCTGAGCAGTTAGCACCCAAAGAAGTGGCCGAAGCTCTGATTTAAGCCCCAAAAATATTTAAAAAAAAAGTCAGAGAGCAAGGTCTGATCCAGTGAAATTATTTCCTCCCCAAAAAAGTGACTGAACTCTCCTAGAAGTTATTGCCAAAGGCAACTGCTGCTTTCTGCATTTGCATCTAGAAAATATGTAGTGGATTTATGATAGATATGGTAAGGTAGATGTACATAATATACTACATGGTGGCTTTATGTGTCTTTCAATGAGATGAACTGTAATTGGAACAACTCACAACTTAATCATGTTCTGTTTTCTGTATTGTATGGAAGGTCAAAGGATAGCACCAAAACAGTCCTTTTCTGGACTGCATACAACGATGCTAACACGAAGCATTGTGTAAATGATTTTACAGTGTAATTTCTACTCTGTATTATTATTCCTTTCTACCTAACGATTTTTTTTCTCTCTTCACACACTGTTGTTGTAACTCCCTGACAAGCTTCAGTTTTAACCCTGGCTCAGTGCAGTGCAGACTGAGAATAGCTGGGGAGATGCAGCAGGGATGTGCATGTGCACAAGGGGAGGTGTGAGCAGTGGGGGCTGTGAGCGATGCCAGCCCTGTTCTCAGCCCTTCAGGGGTCCCCAGGCCAGCCGTCCCATGTGCAGAGGTGCTCCTGAAAAGAAATCATCACTGCCACAGCTCTACACTGCTGCGGTTTGTAAAGGCTGCAAACTTTGCTCAAATGGGAGATTTGAATCTAAAACCTCTCCTGAAAATTCCTGACATGTTTTGGGCGGAAGGGAGGCCAACTTTCCTACAGGATCTGGAAATTTCCTGATGGGAATTTCCATGTCAGGAGTGGGAAGGAGACCGCCTCAGTAGAAATGAGCCCATTCACGAGCGATGTGCGACAGGCGCTGGCGAGAGCCCGCAGAACCCTTCTTTGTTGTCCCTCCCTGAAAGACAATACGCTCTCACATTGCTCTTGGAGCCCGCCTGCTGTGCAAGTGGTACGCTGTGGCACTTCTGAGAGCTGAAGGGCTGAAATGTGCATCGTTTTGTTCATCTGTGACTTCACAACTGAAATTCCTGGTTACTGCATTCCCGGGGTCTTTTCTAAGAGAAGAGGAAGAAGAGGGGGGAAGTGGAGCCCCGGGGGCCAGAGCACCCATTGCACATGGCTGTCACACACAGACCTTCTCCTTACACACGATGAGCACGGCTGAAGGCAGCATCACAATGCCATCTCCTGCATGGGCCAGGCAGGTTGTGGCACCGCAGGTCCCCAAAGGGGCTGTGTTGTGGGGGCCTCCTTTCACCCTGACCTCTTTTCCTTTCGGTCTGCACTGTCTGTGCTCCGTCCCCCTGTAGTTCTTGTCATTTGCTTCAGTGCAGGGACAAAAGGCTGCACCTCATGGGTAGGGCCACGTGTGTCCATCTGCCTGCTGCACCACATTTGGCCTTGGGAAGGGCCTTCCTACCAGCTGCGCGGGGTGCCGGCCCCCCTCCATCCTCATCCCTCCTTGTTCCTGGGTTGCCTGTAGTTGTGTGTGATCTTCTCTTGGCCAGCAGCCCTGTGCTGTATGTTGAACCAGTTGTCTTGTCTCAGCTTCCTCTCCTCTTCCTTCTCTCTCAGCTCTCGTTTCTTTTCGTAATTGAAAATTGTGCCCTTCTAGTTGTTTTTGTGTAACTCATGTGAGATTGCCCAACTAATAGCACAGTTCATAGATGTATAACCTAGATGTGTGTCGCGTTCCAGTTCCTAAGGAAGGCCTGAAGAGCCAGACTTTGTTTGAAGAAATTCGCATGACATACATAAAAGAGCTGGGAAAGGCCATCGTGAAAAGAGAAGGGAACTCCAGCCAGAACTGGCAGCGGTTCTATCAGCTGACGAAGCTGTTGGACTCTATGCACGATGTAAGTCCTGAAGGGCGCCGGGCTGTGGCTGTGCACTGCTCTGCCCTCAGTTCGCTTCGGGGCCAAGTGCTGTGGGCTGGGAGGTGGTATGCGATGTCTATGAAGGACGAGGTGGAAGAGATGAGCTTTCTGCTCTCAGAGCACCTTTCCAATGGACTCTGTGGCAGTTAGATCTTTAATTAACGTGTATTTCAGTCTCCGGTTTTTAGAAATGGTATTGCTTTGAAACTGAGGAACTGTGTCCCCCAAATGCGCGGAGCTGCCAGGCTGTGGCTCGGCTGGACAGGGCGAGGGAGATTTCAAGGCCTCAGTTTTCCTTTCCCTGTTAGTTTACCTGGAAAGATTTTATTTGGATTATCCGTGTTCCTGTGATTTATACGCTAAGATTAGAGCTGATGCGGCGTGCCTTCGGTGTCTGTGGAGAGCTGGCACCATCTCCTCCTAGGTCTGTGTGAGGATGGCGTGGATGGGAGCGGCGGTGAGGCTGAGCTGAGGGCAGCCGCTGGCAGAGCAGGGCTCAGCAGGGACGGCTGGGGAAGCGGCGCTGCTGTGAGCAGTGGTGTGAAAGTTACTCTCTGCTTTGTCCCCCGTAGGTGGTTGAAAATCTTCTGAGCTTTTGCTTCCAGACGTTTTTGGATAAATCCATGAGTATTGAGTTCCCAGAAATGTTGGCAGAAATCATCAGCAACCAGATACCAAAATACTCAAATGGAAATATAAAGAAGCTCTTATTTCATCAGAAGTGACTGCCTTAACACAAAAGGGTTGCCTTAAGAAAACGTCAAATGATAGCTTTTTTCTTTTTTTCTTTTCTTTTTCTTTTTCTTTTTTTTTTTTTTGTAAAGACAGAACCTACCAGACTTGTTCATTTTGTCCTTGCAGCGGTGTTTCTTTTGTAATTATGCACTACATGTGGTTTACAGAGGGCCAAGATTTAGGCGATAGAAGCAGCGGATTCCTCACATATAATACGTAACTGGGGAGAAAAGAAAGAAGAATACATTTTGCTTGCCAGAATTTGTACTTCTCCCCCTGTGCGACACCAATGGATGCATCAAAACCACCGGTGACAAGATCTGAGGCTGTGTTACGAACATTCTGCTAATTAATTTCTGCAGTCGGCTGGAAACAATTTTATTTTTTAGTAATGCATTTTGGATTTTCTTTTTTTTTGTTAAAGTTAAGGTAGCATTTTGGTTTATGCATGTAACCTGAAGAAAGTTTACAAGTGTATATCAGAAAAGGGAAGTTGTGCCTTTTATAGCTATTACTGTCTGGTTTTAGCAATTTCCTTTCACTTTATATACCGTGAACGAGGCTTGTTCATTTTTTCTTACATAATTTTTTTGTAATACTTCAAGATGCCTATTGTACAGCTGGTTTTTTAAGGCGGGGCAGCTCGTAGCTTTCCTAAATGACCTCTAGATGTTCATCCTTGAGTATATTCGTGTGGAAATGGGTTGGGTTTTCTAACCTGATAGCTTTCAACTGTCGAGGCGACCGTAAAATTTGGCATTTTTTAAGGGCCAGGGTGGGTGGGAGAACACTCTCAAATCTAATTTCAGTAGATGTGAATGAAACAAATACTTTTGGTATAATGTACAAAAGCGTTGGATATGCAGATTCGTAGAGAATTAACACAGTCCTAACTGGATGTAAACAAGCAGGTTATTTTATATATTATAAAAACAAAAAGCCTGATTTTTGCATATAATGCAACAGCCATAACTACGAGAGTCACGGGCTGCGTTGATGCCAAGAAGATCAGTCCTGACCGCCCATCAGGAAACCTTCAGGAAAATATGCATAGCTTCAGAAAAGTTTACTTCTGCGCGGAGGACCTCGCGCGTTCCGCGCCCCGACCCCAGCGCCGCGCAGGACCGGCGGGAGGGCGGCCGTGGGGCAGAGCAGAGGCTGCCCCTCCCTGCGCCCGGCGCTTCGGCTCCGCTCTTCTGTGCCGCTGGGCTCCGGGCGCGCGGCCCCGGGGCCACGTCGGAGATGTTGGCTCCGCTGGCGCCGCCCGCACCTCGCACGCAGCGGCCGCAACCCGCGCGGCGCCGCCGCCTCTCGCCTCTGCTTCGCCCTTCTCCTCGGGAGCAGGAGAGCTCCGCTGCCGGCTTCGTGGTCCCGCAGGTGTACGTCCGCCCTTGTCTGTGTACGGCTGCGTCCCTTCCTATCGAGTGACTAGCGTGCCATAAATCTGCCATAGGTCTCGTGAATCTCTCCTCGTTGCCATGGGTAGCTGTATTTTGAAACGTTTAGAAGCTGTAGTAGCCTTTTCTACCTGCACCTTAACGATTTTCTGTATCTCGAAATTGAAATACTTACCAAGCCACTCTAAAATTTGATTTGTACTGAAAGTGGCCCGATTATTTGTGTAATAGCGACGAGAAAAATCATCTGGGAAGATACAAAACCTAATATATTTTTGTATTTAGTTATAGTTTCCAGTATGTATAATCGGTATATTCGCTGATCTGAGAAAAGAAGGGAAGGGCTACTGCAGCTTTAAAAGCAATTTATTAATGACTGTAAAATAGCTTGTATAGTGTATAATAAGGATGATTTTTAGATGACAGATTGCTTTATCATGATACATGTAATTATATTTTTTGTAGGGGTCATGGATGTGCTGAATGGTAACCCGTGCCAGCCGTGCTTTGTCTGGAGGTAGTGCTGAAGGCACTGACATTCAGCATCCAAAGAAGTACTCTGTCAGAAAGAAACAAAAAACAAACCTGTGTTCAGTGGCTGTTTCTGAGGTTGAATTTGCATTTCTCCAATCACTGTGTCAGAGCGCAAGTCGGACCTTGGGCGGAACGCTCCCCTCCGCGCCTCCGCCTGAGCGGATGGGCTCCCTTCGTAGACAGCCGCGCGCCGCAGCGAGAGCAGCTGGAAACATTGGGCAATAATATGCATCAGGTACCAGCAATATGTAAATACAGAGCGTAGGTTGTTCACAACACACCAGTACCTTTCTGCCGTTCAGCAGAAGCTCGTTTCCGAGCGAGATAGGAAACTCGATTTTCATCCTTTCTTAAACCTTTTTGAATGTTATACCTATGAAAGAAAAAGATGCTATATTCAGTACTTTGGAGTAAAATATCATCTTTAATAAAAAACAAAAATTCTTCTCCTCTCTTTGAATGATCTGTACAAAACACGTACATTTTATGGCAGTTTTAGGTGCCCTGCAGCGCTTGGGGGCAGCTCTGGGCCCCTCAGCCCTGGGGATGCACGCTGCGGCGCTGCGCTCTGGCAGAGCTCTGCTGGAGGTCCAGCATTGCAGCTCCGTGTGCAGGCAGTGCATGCAGCCCTTCTGCAGAGTTGGCGTGTGCAGACGCTGCTTCTGCTCTCTTTCGGTCTGGTTTTTTTGGCCTTTGCTTTTTTTCTTTTTTCTTCTTTCTCTGGTTTATTTCCCCCTCCTCCCCCCAGCAGAGAATTAACTACAGTGAATGTGAACAAATCGTTGTCGTCGCGAGAGAGGCGGTAACAGAGGAGAGGAAAGGAGAGGAGAGGCTGCCGCCCCTCTGCTCCGTGTGCCTGCAGGTTCCTTTCGGTTCGCGAGCGTAAGGAAGGAAGGCAGCTGTGGTGTTCGGAGGTGGCATCCACGCTGCGCGCGCTGTTGAGTTGGAAGCGTCACGGTTACAAACGCGTCGTGTTTGGTGAGCAGTGAGGAGTACGTGTGGTGTGTGTCATAGTCCTGTAGCACTGGGCAGAATCTGCACTCTGGGTAAAGCAGGGAGAATGGCGACTTGTGTCCCTTCAGTGCCTTATCACGGTGCGTGCGTCCGCGCGGGGCGTCGCGCTCGGGGCTGCACGGGGCGACAGGAGCGGCCTTAAGGAGGGCAGCGGGGATGCGCCGGAGGCCGGTGCCGTGTTGGGCTTCAAAACGCCCTTGCCCTTTTTGCTACGACAGGTCAGGAATAGGAGGAAGTGCCTGGGTGAGGGTCAGCCCGCTCCCGCTCCGTAGCGCTGGGCGAGGGCTGGGGCCGCGGCTCTGGGGGAGCGCCGTCGGCGTGCCGCGGCCCGGCACCGCGCAGACCCTGCGGCTGCTTTCGGTGTCACATAGGAACCAAACGCGGGGGGAAGGAGCGGAACCGCTCCCGAGGATGGGAGGCGTGGGTGCTGGGGAGGCTGAGCGCGAAACACCCCGCCTCCACCAAGCGCGGGACAGCTGCGTCGGCCGTGTGTCAGTACTCTATTTTGTATATTCAAAGAAAGATATATAACGGGGACAAATCCTATATCGTACCGGTGTATGGCATTATTACAAAAAAAAAAAAAATCATTATTTTTATCACAGTAATTTTAAACAGCATAAAAAAATAAAATTAAACCAGTGACTCCTGTTTAAAAATGAAAGTTGTAGTTTTTTATTCATGCTGAATAATTCTGTAGTAACAAGTCTGTAGTTTTCACCGACTCAGTGAAATGTTGGACTGTAAAAGCTTGTGTGGAATTGTTGAGCATTTATTTTTTCATTTAAATTTGCTGTTCTGGTAATACAAAGCCACACATCTGTACAGAAGTTGCAGTAAATGTGAGCCATTTACAGCAATGCCGAGTAATGGACAGAAACCATACAATAAAATTCTGCTTTTTTCATTAAATGGCTCCAAAATGCCTCTGTGGAATTGTCGCCGTGTTCCTGGGTGGGTTCCCTCACGTTGTCACTGCGCTCCTCACACGCACACAGTATTTATAGGAAAGCTGATTGCTGCTGCAGTTAAGTTCCCAAGTGAGAGAATTTCTGCTAATTGCATTCGGAGGAGCGTTTTAATTGGAAATCATGACTTGCATTTTCCAGTCCTTGCCACTGAGGTTCTAACTCCCATTTTCGGGTTGGGAGCCCCAGTCGAAGCGGTCTGTGCCCCACGTTGGCTGTGGGATGGGGCTGTGTCACCGCTGCTGCAGCTGTCAGTGCAGCACTCCGTCCCGCCGTCGCTCGGCGGAGCTGCGGGTGTGCTGCTCTCAGCACGGCCCCTCCTTTGCCCCATTGAATAGCAGTGTAAGATCAGCCGTGTAATAAAATCGGCTTTAATTGCAGCATAAAATGCCAGCTTCCCAGCAGGGTACGGTCAATGGGGATTGTTTGCCATCAGAACAAAGAGTTACATAAATTTGGCTTTGGTTCTTCCCATGCTTCACGTCTGTAGGCCAGGGTTGGAGGCAACACGAGAGCGGCATTGACGGCAACGGCATTAATTTGTGTGACGGTGGTGAAAAGACCCTTTAAGGGACACGTCGGACCCTAGGTGAAATAACTGCCTCCTGCCCACAGCACTGCAGCACGGCCTGCACTGCGCTGCCTGGCAGAGCGTGGCGCTCACCGGAGGTCCCTGAGTGTCCCCTGTGTCGCACTGCGCTGCTCAGCTCCTCACCCAGAGGTGTCAGGATGGCTCCCAGCAGCGTGGGGCCGGGCGCGGTGCCACACTCACTGGGCATCCATCTCCATCTTCCAGGAAACCCAGATGGAACCCAGCGTGAGCCTGAGATCTGTGATGGCCTTGCTTTGTTTTGTACACGCTATCCCCATAAAACGACAGAATTTGAGAGCGGTTTGGACAAGATGCCATTAAATGCTGTTTTTATAGTGCTGACATTTGGGTGTCCCAGCCCTCAGCCCCTGGGGCATCGCCACCACTGGGCAGCGGCTCCTCCAGAACACATTTCAGAGCGAACCCAGGAGTGAGTGGGGATGTTCAGAGCACAGCCGAGTGGGAACCCCAGCACAAGGCATGGAGATGCTCAGACCTCCGGGTACAGGAAGGAACCTGCAGTCAGCAGGACCTGTGGAGGTCCATTCTCCTTCCGCTGCGCCGTCGGCTGTGGCACAGATCCACATTGTAATTAAGGATATTCCCTGAGGTCACCGCAGGGAGCTTTAAGTTTAAAAAATAACAAGTAAGTGGAACCCTTCTAATTATAGGCTCTGTTGGTTCAAGATTAAACCGCATGAATAGGGCGAGGAGAAACTGCTGACGCGGCATTTAACGCGGCCGCTAATTGCATCGCTAATGTGACGGGATGGGGCGATGCTTCCTGCGGGAGGGGCTTGGCTCCGCAGAAGTGCCCGTTGTGCCCGGCGAGGCGGAGGAGGGGAGGCTGAGCTGCCACGGCCCAGAGACAGACCCCGATCCCTGGGGCACCACGGGGCTGAGCTCTGTAGCGGCACGAGGTGTATTTGCACTTATCCATGCCGCCGCTGGATGTACTGCTGCTCAGGGACGTGTTTGTATCTCACACGTTAGCAGAGGAGCACATGTGTGCTCCTAAGCCCCACGCAGCGCTCCTGCGGCCGCACACCTGCACAGCCCACCCCTCCAACACACAGCAGAAGTGAACAATTCTGTGATTCTATGAACTGGGAGGAGCAGGGTGTGCCGAGGGGATCAGGAGCTCTGCAAGGATCACATTGGTCCAATAAGCCATTAAGGAGCACTATCTGCCAAAACAATATGCCAGTAGTTTGTGTCCCTTGCCAGAAGTACAATGGTTTTGCCACTTATCCTTTCCATGGCCTAATTCATGCTGCTCTACAAACACTGCTTTTCCCATCCCGTGGCCACCGCTCGCTTTTTGTGCAGCCGTGGCAGGGGGAAAGTGCGCTCTGTGGGCAGACTGCAGGGCCCTCCATGAGCAGCGTGTGCTCAGAGCACTGTGAAGGGCTGGGCCCTCCCGGCTGCCCCTGGTACCCACAGCTCTTCCCCCTTCCTGAGTGCGTCATCGAGTTTTAGAGCCCAGGTGCTATTTTCTGGGCATCTTTGTCTGAGGTTTAGGAGCAGAACTGCCTTCATTAGCAGAGGGAGCGTTCATAATGGGTGATAGCAGGTGCTGCCTGGTGAGCTGCCAGCAGCTGTGCTGTATTACCACTGCTCTGTGGCATCTCTGGGGGTCCCAGCTCCACACACAGAAGAGAGCTGGAACACCTGTTTTTTAGGGGAAAAAAAAAAAAACAAACAAAACCTAAATATTTCTAACTTAAAAAATCAAATTAGCCCAAATGTACCAACTATAATTGCTTTGAGGTTTCTGGTTCATTAGAATAATTAAAATACCGTTCATTTTCTAAGCAGAAGCTGTCCCTTCAGCACAGGTGATGCTCCTCTGTTAATTTGCCTTAAACCAACCCAGCTCAGGGGTTACAACACCAGGTGTGCTCAGCTCTGCCATCAGACCCCCCTGCCCCTCCTCCAGCACTGACGTCGCAGCTGTGGAAGCGCCCTGAGCGAGGGGAACTGGGGAGCCATCACCATCCCAGCAGGCACACAGCGCTGGTTCTGAGGGCTGCTATTGCTTTCCTTGCTCTGCTGCCGCTGCTCCAATGTGGGCCCAAGGATGAAGTGCTGCTGGGAAAGAATGAATGGTAGGAAAAGCAAATCCTGTCCCATGCAGGAGGTGCCTCTGGGCTGCCCTGTGATGGTGGGGGGGGGACAGCATGGGCTGGAAATGCAGCACTGCTGCCTGACGCCATCCCATAGTGGAAAGCAGCTCCCATGCAGACAGGGAAATCGGCTTCCCAGTCCTGAGCAGGAGCCCAGCTCTGCTCTCTGTGTGTTTCTGTGTCCTGCAGCCTGGACACATTCGCAGACACACCGCATGCACAACCCATTCCAGGCAGCCCCGTCAGGGGATATTTCTGGTCTGTGGATTTTATTACTGAGTGCTATTCCAGGCCTGCTGTCATTTACCGTGAGCTGCTCCGCAGAGCATCAGAATCACAAGATTTGTGCTATTTCAATCATTCCTTTGGAGCAGCCCAGACAAGGAGCTGGGCTGGGGTGAGCTCCCAGAGCCAGGCAGTTTGGAGCTCAGAGGCAGAAGGCCATGGCTGTCACCTCTGGGATGTGGGACACAGAGACCCCCTGCACTGTCCTGTGGCAAAGGACAGTGCTGGTTTTCCAGCTCTGTACAAGGGCTGTCTATCATGCTGCTCCCAATGGGCTTTGCATGGAGCACGCTCTGCCTTTGGTCATCCAACAGTGAAACGCAGATTGCACGAAGCACTGCGTGTTACTGCCCCGTGTCCGTGAGCCCTCAGCTCCTGCAGCTCCTGCAGCCTCTTTCTGCAGTGCTGTGCCTTCCTGCTGGGCTCCCAGTGCTCTGCCCCTTCTGCTGTGAGCTGCAGGGCCTTAGGCTGAGCCTGCAGCCCGTGAGGGCGGTGGGGAAACCTGCACTGTGGGGCCAGAACTGCCCAGAGGCACCGAACCCACTGCAGCCCCACAGGGTTCCCATTCTGTCCCACTGCTGCCCAGAGCCGCGCTGTGCCACGGGTGGAGCAGAACAAAGGCAGTGACAACACTCATGCTGAGAGGTGACCACCACCCCAGGGAGACAAAGGGAAAGCCCAGGGAGGGCCGGGACTTGCACAGATGCTCCTTGAGCTGCTTGGGTTTGTGCTGTGAAAGCTCTCAGAGGAACTCCTCTGTGTCAGCAGAGCCATCAGCTGGCTGCAGCAGGAGCCCCTAACGAGCATCTCCATCCCATCCTCACTTACAGCCTCTTCCAGGCTGTCGGCAGAAGTGAAACTAAAATCAGAGCCATCATTCTTCTAAGGAAAATTCCAGTGCTACAGTTTACTGAATAAAGTGGCAGGCAGCCTCTGAAATAAATATAACAGAACTTCTCCGTCAGCATTAGAGCTCAGCCCTTTCCCACAGCAGAGGCGTTTCTCTCACCCTTCATGGCAGGCAGACACACAGCAGTGTGAGTTACAGCCCTGTGGTGCTACGATGTCCTGCAGCACGGCCACGGCTGCTCAGCACAGCTGCTCCAGGCAGCCCCACGCAGCCCTGAAGACAGCAGCACGCAGCCTTGCAGCACCACACAGCCTCACAGCACACCGTGGGACCAGCGGAGCTGCCTGCAGCTGGCACTGAGGACGCAGCCCCCAGCTCCCCATGTGTGCCACAGCAGCGAGCAGAGCACCGGGAGCTGCCGCCGCGCGCAGCTGTAATTAGCTGTAATGGTCTGGGCTGCAATTCAGGCCCCCGAGCTCAGCAGAAGTCATCTCGAGACAAGACAATTACCAGGAGGATGTTTTGTCTGACTGCTGAGACAGATGGGAATCTGAAAAATTCATGGCCAGGGCCTGAAATTGTTGCTCTCCCTGAGTAACAGCGGCTCTAAATACCCACACCAGCCAACCCACCCCCAAGGAGCACAGGGCTGCAGCACGGCGCGGGCAGAGCCGGCTGCTCCCAGAGCAGAGGAGGAGCTGCATCGCTACTGCAGAACCCCACAGGACCAGTGACAACCCCATCCCCACTGCAGCAGCCCCTGGCAGGGCCTGGAGCATCCTCAGTGCGTGCCGCTCCTGCAGGCTACCCGACACCTCAGAAAATCACATGGATTAGCAAAAGAGGCTTTCTCAGTGATGTGCACAACTACAAATTAAGAGCTGCAGTTGTTGGGTGTGTTTTTTAGATCAGCAGCTTTGCTCCTTCCCAGAGGCTTCAGCCAGCCTGGCTTTTTCCTTCGTCCTAACTGTTCCCTTACTCTGTTTCACAGCCTCACACCATTTAACCCCATCTGGGGCCCAGATGTGCTCACTCTGTCCTTCCCCACACTTGGGGTCAGGGGGCACCGCTGCCACTGCTTGGATGGGCAGCGATGGGAAGAGGGAAAGGATGGAATGAGAATGGGGAAGGGAGAAGCAGTGTCAAGAGAAGCAGAGCCACTGCCCTCGGGTCTGGCAGGGAAGGCAGCACCACCACAGCCCTGGGAAGTACTTAAAAGAATAGCCTGACTTTTCCTTGTCTTTCTTTTTTTTCTGAAAAGTCCAGGAAGTTTAATTACTGTGAATGAACTTTAAAGAGGTCTGAAATTTCAGCTTCCCCTATTTCTCAGTGACACAGGGAAGCAAACAGAGAGGCCAAGGCCCAGGGCAGTCTGTGGATGTCGGTGTGTTTGCAATGTCTTTTTCCATCACCGGTTTCAAATGTCCTTCACTCCTCTCCTTACAGCTCTTCTAAAAATATCAAATAATATAGATCTTCCCCTCATTATATTTTAAGATTCTCTATTTATACATTAATTCTTTCAAAAATAAAAAGTGACACGTACATACAGCAATCCAGTCACTCAGAGGCTTTAAAATTATTACAAAAGGACAAAAAGACCCCATCCCACCACGCGCGCAGGTCTCTGCCCACAGGCTGGCTTTTCCTTCACCATTTTCTATCACAAAGTAGAACCATCTCCAGCTCCCCGCAGGTCCAGCTCTGCAGGGCCCCCCTCCCACCCTCCTCCTGGAAATGGACCCAAGGGTGAGAGGTGCGGCAGGGACCCGCGTCCTTCCCGAGGTGGGCACAGAGCTGCAGTTTGCTGTCCCAGGCTGCAGGCCAGCTCCCCCAGCCAGGAGCATCCCATGGGCACACGTCCTTTACCTCACACAGGCAGCACCGTGCAGGTTGGCACAGCAGATGAGGGACAGCAGCGGTGGGAGCAGCACAGGAGGGGGCTGTGCCCTGCAGCGGGGAGCAGAGACACGGAGCAGCCAAAGGGAGCGCGATTTGTCGGAGCTGCGTCTCGCCCTGCAGGAAGGAAACGCCGGCTGCACGCATTGCAGATGTTTACCTTGTGTAAACTTAGACCTAAAAACAAAAGAAAACAGTCAAAGGGGTTGGTCCGGGATGGCCGCCCGCCCTCGCCAGCCAGGCAGGGTGCAGGGGGGCTCAGTGCCGCCGCACTGCTGCAGAGCGGGGGGCTGCGGGCCGGCTGAGGGCTTCTGGCTGCTGAGGCTTCTCCTGCGCTGGGCAGAGCGTAGGTCGGCTCCGGGCCTGCGGCCGATGGTGCTCCTTGCAGCTCACAAGCACTGCAGCAATGGGGACAGCGGTGCTGGTTCAGAGCAGTCTGCAGACGTTCCCCCAGAGCTGCAGGCCGCTGCTTCGCTGCTGTCCTCGTGGCGGTGGGGGCTCCAGGCTGGGGACGCAGCGCTGCGCACGGAGCAGCACCCACACTGTTGGCCATGGGGAGCCCTCCGCCCCCAGCGCACACAGGGCCAAGCAGTGCATGGATACCAGGTGATGCTCAGCAGTCCCGCTCACGTGCCCAGCTATAGGAACTCCACGTAGTTCTCAGGGATGAGCCCGGTCTTCCCGTTGAGCGTCCCTTCCAGCCAGCCGGGCTCCTGCGATGGGTGCACTTGAGGAGAGAAGCAAGAGAAGCGCGTTACCGTGGGGCTCACCGTGTCCTCCAGCCCTGGGCCAAACCCTGCAGAAGCTCAGCTGAGCGTGGCCCATTCCCATGGCCTGAGACGCCCCAAAACTGCGGAGGTGATTCCATGTCCACATCCAGCTCACTGCCCCACAGAGCACTCAGGTTCCTCCACCCCTGTCCTGCTACAGCCTCACTCAGTGCAGAACAGCAATTTTCTATTGACAGATCACAACTGACACAGACCAGGAAAGATGGAACTGCTGTAAGTCCAAACATCTCCGTGCTTTGGAAAGGCCCAGTCTGCACCAGTCCAGCAGAGCCCATCGCTGCTGGAGATGCTGTTGAGGGTGATTACAAATAAACACCTCTACCCTACATTTGCTGACATTGGGTTTACAGAACCCCTTCACCATAAGACATTTCTAGGGTGCTCTTTCCAACTCACTTCCCCCAGCCAGCATGCAGCCCGGCTGCTCAGTGGCTGGGACATGCTGTAGACTTTTTCCTTTGAATAATCCACTGATTTTTATCTGGCAAACACAATGCATTCAATTCCAACTTGCTCCCCTGCTAGCTGCTCAGATTCCCACGGGCCCTCAGAGGGGAGACTGCATTTATTTGCAGGATATCTGTGGCGCTGCTTAGGAAAAGCATTTCTTTAATTTACCTGTATTAATTTTCTTCCTCTCTCTGCTATGTTCTCGTACAGCAGGACAGGGCTGTGCGCGTGGGAGCAGCTTCTCAGATGACAGTGCTTAGCACATAAAAGCCAACAGCCACTTGGAGAACAGTAAAAAGTTTTTTCTTTACACTGGGATTATATCTAAAACAGAACTGCCTAATTCCATTGGGCACAGCCTCCTTCCCCTGATGCAGGAAACAGAGTCTATGTTCATTAACACGGTCTCCAAAAAGTGCAACTGATCATGGGCCACCTCTTCCAGCACTCGGTGTGCAGAGGGAAAGGCCCTCATCACTTCTCCATCTCCTGCACCAAACAGTACGGCAGCTGCAGGGGGAATTGCTGTGCCACAATTTGGAAGCTCACCTCTCCCATCCCCAGAGCAATCAAAGAACTTTGCTGAATGGTGATGTCCGCCAACCGCCCACTGCCTTTTGTCTTGGATCTCAGTGATGGGTCCGTGGGAGGGATGCAGCGGGGCCACAAAGCCTGCACACTGCAGTGACAGCCCCAGCTCTGCTCGTGGCCTCTGATCCGCTGGGGAGAGCAGCAGGATCCTTCCCACCTGCCCCCACCTCATGTCTCCCTGAGGGTGAGCTCAGTCATGGCCTTGGAAAAGTCCTTTCCATGCCACAACAGGACTGGATGATGGGCTCTTCTCAGCACAGATATAAAACATACGGCAGGATACATCTGGATTGAATGGCAGGTTCAAGCACTGCTGCTTTTTTCTTTCATGGGATTTCTAGTGATGGAAATGGGATAGTCATTAGGCGTAGGACTGAAAGGAAACCCATGAATTCAGAATCCAGCTCTTCCCCGGGTCACAGGAGGAAAACCAGTAATTTGCAAAATACAGTGCTAAAACAAACAATGGCCAACTGGCGTTCACTGCAGCTGTGTTCATGTTCCCACTGACACCGGCCCCGCAGTTTCTCCCGTGTACATGAAACGAGAGATGCTGTCAGAGAACAGGAGCCCCTGGCTGCCAAGCTGGGCCGTGCCAAAGGGGTCACGCTGTGGAATGGGGCAGCGAGCTCCAGCCCCCAGGACCCAGCCCAGCCGTGCCAGCATTCACTCACCATTGTCAAACACAGTGCCCGCTGTGAAGGAGAGCTCCGAGTCGTGTTCTGCTTTGCAGGCGTACAAAGCTCGGGCTTTCCGCAGTGGTGAGCTGCAAGGAGAAAGCGTTGATTGGCATAAAAATTAGCACCTGGGGAAGGGTGTCTTCAAACCTGAAAAACAGCTCAGTAAAGCCATGAGGGATTTGCTGCACTTCTTTAAAGGCTGTACCTGAGGACAAAAAAGATTTAGCAACCATTAGGTTTTACTGGGAAGAGTCAGTGTGCCCACACTGTGCCCGGCAGTGAGTTGGAGCTGAAAGGGATGGAAACAGAGGTGAATTTCTGGGAGCAGATGGAGGAGCCCAGCAGCAAACTGCACTACCTGGAGCTGCCCACCCCCCATCCCAGTGCCCTCAGTGGCAGCAGACACAGCGCAGTGCCTCCCCAACCCTGCAGCCATGGCACAGTGCTGTGAGTGCCCCAGGACGGCCAGCACCACCCCCAGGGCATCAGCATTCTCTTAGGGGGCTTGAGGGGCTTTTCCCAAAGACCTGAAGTGATTCTGAATACATGTGCTCACCTCATGGCAAAAGCGGTTGCACACTCATAGAAACCACAAACCAGGAAAGCTGTGAACGGTTTTGGTTTTGCTGTCAGCACAGCCACGGGGCTGAGATTTTTCCTATCTGAATTCCAGCTGTATGACAAGCAGCAGCAAAATGCTTTGCAGGCAAAGCCCCCCGCTCAGCAGAGGGTCCCTGACCACCTGGAGGCCTCTCATCTCACACAGTCAGGCAGAGGACATTTCTGGCTTACAACCTTGAGTTATTCACACTTCTCTTCCCAAAACTCCCCTCGGATTTGTATCCCCAGTGCAGCCCCCATGCGGTGCAGAGACCTGGAGACTGGTGACAGTCACTGTGTGATTACTGCCTCCAAGCATGGCACAACGCCAGCCAAGCACTCACAGGAGCTTCACCCAAGTGCCCCGGTGCAGATTCGAGGATAATGAGCCCTGAAGAGGGCTGCTCAGATGTTATTACACCGCTGTCAGCCTTTGCACATGTGTACCGGGACACAAATAACGCTACCAACAGGCAGCATGCACTGCTGTAGGAGGGGGAATGCTCAGGCTGTGCCTGCAATGAGTAGACAGGTCTGGCATGTCCCCACCACACCGTGCTGGGCCTGACCAGCTTGCTCCAGTGATGCCCACACACCTGAGACATGGGCTAATGGCAGGCCAACATCTGTGCTGCACCATGCCCTTCATCCTCCCTACACTGCAGCTAAGAAATGGAAAACGGCCAGAAAATGCAGTATTACTCCTGGTAGCAGCTGGGGTAGCACTACATTGCTTACCTGTTGTAGAGGCGAGTGCAGAAAGCTCCAGGGAGAGGAAATGTCTGAAAACCCAAAGAACTCAGCACCAGTGGGACCTGCCTGCCCTGGCCTGAGCCCCAGGGCTGCACATGGGGGCCCAGAGGTGCACAGGGGGTGCCCATGGCTCTGCTGGGACAGGAGACGCCTGAAAGCTCCTCTCTTGCTGAATGCAGATAGCTGCACTGGGGGTTTTGAGCAGGATGCAAAGGGGGAAGGGAAGTGAAGTGGGGCAAACCAAGTAAATTAAACAGAAAATAGGGAGAGCAACAGAAAGCCAAGCAAATTGTGCAACAGACCTGATGGGGGATGAGTCGCTGGACGTAGAGGAGGTGGGCATAGGACTTGATGGCGCAGAGAACATGGGCCAGGACGGTGAGAGGGGTGACGTTGGGCTTGGATTCTGAGGGCTGCAAGACATAACCAGATACCTTATCAACGTGCAACCACAGAAACAAACAGCAACCGAGAGACAGGCAGACGACATCCGACGATAGCTGGTGCCTTGGGAATAGACTGAGCATGAGACACAGCCACGAAATGAAGTGCCAAGACCTTGGGAAACATTTCAAGGCCAGATCTGCATTCTTCCAGACAACAAGAGCTGGATTTTCCAGTTAACCCCTGCTCCATCGCCCTGCTCCCGGCACCCATGGGCAGAGCTGTCAGGCTGCACGCTGCTGCTCCAGCACCTTACCTGCCGTGCCGTGGCTCACCCACAGAGCCGGCTGCATGGCTGCACAGGGATGGTTTCTAGGAGCATCTTCTCCTGCTGCCACGAGGCTGTTCCCTGGGCCATGCTGTGCAGCCTGAGTGTTGTTGCCTGTCTGCACATCCCAGTGGGTCCTGGCCGTGGAAGCCCAGGGGCTGACACTGCACCAAAGGCTGCACAGCCCCAACCCACCCCAGGCTGTGTGGGTCTCAGCCCCATGGGTGCCCTCACCAGCACCAGAACTGAGATGAGCAATGCTGAGGTGCAGGGAACCTCTTTTCTGCCACCAGGAACAGGAGTGAAGCAGCAGCAAGGCTTGTGCCCTGCCCACGCTCCAGCACTCCTGCAGCGCTCATTAAATCACAGTGCTGTAACGGTTTAATTGATTTTTTTCATATTTTACAGTGAGAAACACTCTTCCCCTCACCCACACTGCTCTTGACTATCAGCTCATTTCCTTGCTTTTCCTGTAAGTGACTGCTGTCATCTCAAGTCAAACTGAGTCACTGAACTAGGAAACGCATTCAGAAGTGAGAAGTGTTTCCTGCAAAACTGTCACACTGAGGTCGTTCTCCGGTTCTCTGAAAAGCAATTAGTGCAGCCAAACACCATTTTGCGTCTGTTTCGTCTTCTGCCATCTCTAGGATTATCAACTCATCTGTATTCTCTAATTCAGCCTGTATGCTCTGTCCCTGGTAAAACACCCCATAAAAAAACCCCAAGGTTCTGTAAAAGCACTGTGATTTCTGCTTTCTCTCTCCGCGAGGATGGCCCCTCTGTGCCACAGAGCTGCACCAAGCAGCCCACGCCCTCAGGTGTTCCCCAGCCTCTACCAGCAGCTGAACTCTGTAAAAATGAGCGATGGGTTCACCTATAACTGAGAGATGTGCCACTGAGAGAGCACAGATCACAACAGCATCAGTGCTCCAGCCCCCGGCTGCTGTTTCTGGAGGCCGGCACTGCACGTTTCATTACCTTAACACAGAAGGGTGTAGAACAAATGTTCTGTGCTGCATTTCCAGCCTCAGCCTCTAACATTTAAGAAAAACAACCAACCATCCCCAAAACCCAGGAGGGTCTCTGGGAAATATTTGTGACTCATCTTGAATGGATGATCCTCGTGGGTCCCTTCCAGCTCCGGATATTCTACAATCCTATGAATTTTGCATGTGATTGCAATTCTCTTCCCTTCAGTTCAGCTCAGGACTGAAGCAGCACACCCAGCACGGCTCAGCCCACACTTTGTGCCACCCCACCAGCACCACAACCCCCGGTGCCCCCCAAGGTCAGATCCCACCAGGGGCTGCAGCCAGCCCCACCGTGCCCCAGCACTCACAGCAGAGAGGATAACACCATGGATTTGGGCCAATTTCGAGGAAGAAAATGCCCATGCCATAAATATTCCCACTACAGCTGGTGTCCAGAGGACACAACAGAAGGTTAAATTTTTAGCCTGAATTAACCTGAAGTTCCTATCTGCTTAAGGCCGAGCTCCTGGCACCTCTCCTCCCCACAGAAGCTGTGTTGCTGAGTCCAACAGACACCATGATTTCCTCACGTGGTTATGGGCAATGCCTTTATTTCTGCAGAGCTTTACATGAGCATAGGGCTGAAATACAGCAGTGCAGCACAACCTTCACCAAGCACTGTAAAACTGCAGACTATTACGAAAAATCCTCCAAATGTTCACCTCCTAGTTACCAATATTCAAAAGCAAATCCTTCTGCACTTTTCTACTGAAATTGAAAGAGGAGTATTTACCTGCGTTGGCTGCTCCTTAACAAACCTGAGAGACATTTGTACTTACCATAGCACAAATCTATTTCCAGCTTCAAACAGGAGGAGGTGCTACACAGAGCATCCAGCGATCCCCAGTCGCAGAGGTTAACCCTTAAGAGCCCACTTCTCCCTGCTGCCTTTTCTTCCCACCAGGTGCAGTTGGCTGGAAGAGTGTGACGGTGTTCTACCTTCCCTTAGCACAAGAACTGAGATAGCACATAGGGCACGTACATTTGTTTTGTTTTATCTGTGCACAAGCATGCTTCTGCCCTCTAATGGAGAGAGCACGTTAAATTCATTTGAAGACATGGAGAATGTGCTCCTGTGGGTGCTGGCACCTAGAACCCCTCGTGCACGGTTGGTGCTGCACGAGGAGCTGCAGTTTGGAAACCAAAGCCCGCTGGACATCATACCTGCATGCAGTGCCTGCTGGCTGCACATGGCTGAGTTACAGCACATCTGGAGCACAGCTGGCAGCTGCCAGGGTGGGTTTTGCCTGGGGCTGCATCTGCACCTCATCTCCCCATGGCTCCCCATTCGTGCAGGCTCCTCCGTCCTGGTAATCCCACTGAGCTCTTCCCAGAGGTGCCAGCTATCAGCTCCATGCAGGGCTTTCCCTTCACCTCCAGCCCCTGCTGCAGTGAGATTCCGCCCCACTGAACACCTGCAGGTGACTCAGTGGCCAAAACACGGCCAAGCTGTGCCATGACAGCAAACCCAGGGCAGAGTGCCTGCCCCACAGCACAGCCAGCAGTGACCCTGCCAGGACACCCAGCTATGAGGCACTGAGACAAGAAAGTCCCCTTCTTGAGATGGGATCATTGTAAAAGAGTGCAGTGCTTGCAACCTGTAGGTCAGCTTCATCACTGCCACCCAACAGCTCAGCCTGCTGCACTGACTGTGGGGCACAGGAAAACTGCCTCTGTGATGCTGCCACAGAAAAGTCTTACAGCAAGAGCCTGGCTCTCCAGCCAGCCACCAGCTACGAAGCTATCCAAAATTTGGACTGGGGTTTTGGTATCTTTGGATTCTGAATGGCAAAGAAAACATTCTCTGTGCCCACCAAGCAAGAGAGATACATTCATTAGTAACAGCACGCAGGTCTGTGAGGATGAAGACCATCCTGCTTCAATCAGGTTACTCCCAGAAGAGATGAACGTGGTGCTGTGAGCGGTTCCCTCCAGAAGAACAGAAGGTTTTGCAGGGCCCTCTGGGGCTGCCCTGCTGAGCAGATGATCTCTGAAGGCTCAGCTCCTTCCAGGGAAACCCCAGCGTTCAGTTCCACAGCTCCTGCTCAATGTCACCCCACTGAACCACGCCACAGCATGAGCTACGTCCGATCCCACCGGAGAAGTGAGCGCACTGACGAGAGCAATGAGGCCTCTGTATTTTGGAACATGTCTTTTTTTTGTGTTTTGGTTGTGTTTTTTTTTTTGTAAGATCCCATTTCCTTTCTCTTTCTCATGGGAATAGCAGCGGTGGTGACGGGCTTTTTGGAATTGCTGGCTGCTGCCTGTTGTCTGCAGAAAGCAAATGTCATCTGTTTTTTCCCTTCTTCTTACTCTTGAGGGCTTTGCAAGGGGCTCTTCCTGTTGGGTGCAGAGTGGGAAACAAAACAGAAAAAAAAAAAGCTAAGAACCAAAAATACCAGCAGCAGGAAACAAAGATGGGGTAAAACTCAGCGTCTTCAAAGCAGCTTTTCCCAAAGAGCAGCAGCAGAGGGAACTCCGTCAGTCAGCAGCCCAGAACACAGCAGGGCTTCGCCTTTCCTCCCAGATTGCCCATGGCCCTGGGCAGCACACAGGATGGGATGGGATGGGGACATAACCATCCAACCCTGCATCCTGGGAGCTGTGCTCCAAGCAGCCCTGCTGCCATTCCCGTCCTTCCAGGCACTGCTTTACCTTCCTGCTGCTGGATCTAAAAGCCCTCCTCACTCCTCCCCTCTCACAACACTTTTTCTCTGCTGTCTGCCTTCCCAGGCCACCCCTGGCATCTCCTGGCACAGCTGAGGCCCTTGCAGTGTGTGGGGCTGAGCAGTTCAGCGCAGCAGGGCTCCACACAGCCTTTGTCACTTTGTTCTTTTGGCTGAGAGGACACCAGTTCCATTTAAAAACATTTACAATTTGTTTATTTTTGTGGAACTCGGGGCTATTTCTGGCACAGAACATCCAGCATCCATGAATGGGCACCATCTACTGATGAGCTGAAGCCCTTTGATGAAATCACCTCAATAAACACCCTGTTTCCATCCTGGCATTATCAATACTGACTGCTCTAAAACAAACCAAGAACCACCCACCCCTTTCCCTTCCCTTCTACTTCTCTAAAACAAAGCTGCTGAACATAAGGCTCTTCTCAAAGCCAAACAGACAGAAATATATAGCATTGCTCAACGCCAGGGCTCTTAAACTTGCTAACAGCAGGCCAGGGTTGCAGCCTGCTGATGGATATGGCTCTGCTACACGAAATGGGAGCCAGCCTTGGGCAGAGAAGCTGATGAAGTTCATGCAATGCTGCACATCTCAGCAATGCCCAGAGTGCAGGGTGGATGGGCACGAGCAAGCAGTCCCTGGGCTCCAGCTGCACTGGTGTTAGTGATGGCACCAAGCACGATCCTATACATTACCAAGATCCCACAGGCTTCCAGCTTGGCAGCATTCTTCCTCCGTTTGGTACTTTAAATACAAGAAAAATTATGCAAAATCTCTCCCGTATTATTCTCTCAGGAGTTATCTTGCTGCATAAATCACTCAGGTGGAAAATAATGTCATGCTCAGGGAAATAAGCAGCATTGCTTAACCAAGCAGGTCCAAAGAGTTCAGCTTCTTCACACACCTCCAGCTATCAGCTCCTCTTCCCAGGTGAGCACAGCTGACGTGAGCTCCAGGGCAGCAACACGGAGGCGACCCTCTTTGC